GAAAGGGATGTGAGTGTCAAGAGCTGTATCTGAGGACGAGGAATGGCAAGAACTCCCACCATTTCAGAGTCCATAGAAGTAGCAGATTGTGACTAAACAGATTCCACTGAAACAAGAAGCTTTTACAGCTTCTGTATAGTTTCCTTTTCATACAGTATGACAAGAAATCTATTTGATCAATTAGCCTGGATAATGCTATGCATGAAGGATCAAGATCCTTTTTTAGGAATGCCAAGGTCTTCTGTTTATCTTCACGTGTTTTGCTTTTAATAAAGTAATTCTGTCTTCTTTCCATGGTCTAGTCAGCAGATATAAGGGCCTCTGCCTCAACTTATTTGCAGGCGAAGGTTGGCAAGAATATGGCGGATCTCTTGCCGAATTCGGATGCTAACAAGGAGAAAAGTCTCTCCCCAAAGGATCAAATCAAAGGGCACACAAGAAACAAAAGTCCGAAATTGAGAAAGATTGATCAGTATGGCGAGAAAGCAGTCTCTTGACAAAGTGTGAAGCTGCTGCTAAGAACTCAAGTCCCAAGATGAAGTTGAAGTACAAGCTTCCATGGTAAGTTGCTAAGAAATCATTGACCTGGAATGTGATTCTTATATAGGTTCAAGGTAAATGACGAGCCTGCTATTTCTTGATGTTGTTATCTTTGCTAGTAATTTGACTATCTACCAGTATGCATTATGGCCTCATGTGCAACTAAAAGAAAACATTGATACCACTAAAAACATGATAGGTGTTTTTATGTTCATTGTTCTCTCTTAACGGTTGAATAATGTTTCTTAACATGGTTGCAGGATTTATTGCCAGTTACCTGCTCAGGCATGGATAAAACTGCAATCTCGAGTTCCCTTGATAGATTCATATATTCCCCAACGACAGAATCCAGGAGGCTGGAGGACTACAAAGTCAAAGGTGTGTGATTTAGAAATGCTTCGAGCTTTGGGCACATGGTCCTTTACCTGTGGAAAACTTTCATATCTGAATCTCATTTCTGTTGTCTGCAGTTCAGACTACAGAAAGGAGGCATGCTTTCTAATACGAAAGGTTAATGTTGACCTAGTATTGGACATTCTAAGTTCCTCCTTGAACATACAATCTATCACATGGCTCTACATGCCATGAAAATCTTCAAGGGTCTAGTGCGGGATCTATCTTCTCCCAGAAATGTGTATCTCGGGGTTATAATACGGATCATCATAAATTAAGTGCATAGTGACTATAACCGGATTCTGAGTTTGACTTCCCAGCTGCTGCATCGATCATGTAACTCTTGACTGTCAACTTCATGACCGTCAGCAACCAGTCTACCGAAGATGTCGACCTTGGAATCCAAAATAATTGATTTTGCAGGGTAGGACACTTTGTTATTTTGGTTATAGAAAGTTTATCCAGTGTGGATTGATAAATCGTGATCAGCATTTGTATATTTTTGGTGGAAGACTGGATACACAACAGGTTGTGAGGGGCTGAAAATATTGATGTTGGCTTGGTCTTTGTAGCTTTTAGCAATGAAAAAGACGAAGCTGATCACTTTGTAAAACCTCGCATCCCTGCATGTCACTTTCGATACAAGTCACAGTTCCCTCAGCAAGAGTCCATCGTAGACATGCTATAGCTGAGAAATTCTTTGTACATCTGACAGCCTAGAATCATATCCGCTATTGGAACCAAGGTAACAGCTAATAGTAAGTAATCTCCTCCCAAATAGCCTTGCTAGAAATAGAAGATACATGTCATTTATATTTATAATAGCAGCTATCATAAGCCTCAGATCCTATTAAATCAGTCGATTTTTGCACAAGATGCATATAGTATGGGCACTCTAGAATCATAATGACCCAATCAAGTAAAATGTAACCCACAACAATAGACCTAGCCCTTAATAACCATTGCGAATATAAGTCTTTCGCGTACCAAACCGCTCAACATGTTATGTCTGACTGTATAAACGTTTTCTCTTATATTGTCATCAATCATCATCCTTAAACTCGACAAGCTTCTACTAGAGCATTTCTGCAATTCTGGAGGAGACATCATCCAAACAAGTCATATTGCTCCAGCTGCCAGTAAGGAATACAGCTCCCCGGGGATTCCATTTTCCCAACCAACTGGTCTATTCCTGCATTCATAAACCAATAGCTTAAGAAAATTGGATTGTTTGAAAATCGCAGTGCATGCTTATCAAAGCTGGTTACGGACATAAGGCTGTCTGAAATAGCTCAAGTGTTGAATAGAACTCTCAATGCATGAATATTACGGGAAATTAAGGACAAAAAAATTCATTACCTATGTCTGGACTATGTAAGTACATGTGGTCGGAAACTGGGGTGGCGTCTTCATCAGGTTGGTTGTCTTCTGGCTTGGTCTTCTTCTCTTTAAAAGACTCAATTTCTGTCTCTACTTCAGATTCTCCACTGTTTGGTAGTAAAGCTGATTGCTTTCTTTTTGAACGAGCTCTCCTATTTTGGAACCAATTATAGACATTTGTTTCAGAAATCTGGCCATGTTGTGCAAGTTCCTTGGTTATATCTTTGATCTTCTGCCTGCCTGGAGTCGCATTGCATTGTTTGAAAATCTGCTCAAGGATTTCAAGTTGCGCTGGTTTTGGAGTCCACCGCTGCCTCGACCCTATCTTGTGGACAGAAGATGACAGTAATGGATCGCAAAAGTATGGATTCCCAAGTCGCATGCCTAAATCAGAAGCAAAACATCGAAGATTTACCTCAACAAAACCAAGTAAAACACATGCTTATTAAGAAATTAATAGGACGATTAGTCAAGAACAAATTACATGGACAATAAATGGCTAGGCAAAGAATTATCTCAGCATAACTTTCCCCCACGATAAAGATAGAACAAGACAGCTTCAAACATTCAGCAATACAAGTGCCATCAAACCAATACTGTTTAGGGTTCTTTAGCTGGTGGAAGTGATCAACAATTGGCAAGTGAAATTTTGAGAGAAAGAAAAGGCCAACAGTGCTATAAAGAGGGCAAATTGAGTAAGAGTGATCCAAAAGGTAAAGTAACATAGCTCTCCATATCCAATAACTTTCAAACTCCACTGAATTCCCCCATTGATTCAGTTCATAGATACACAAAACAAAAGATTATAACATGCACAACAAACCCTTCAAAGGAAAGAAGAAACAAACCAGCAAAATCCTGGTGGGCAGAGAGAGACTTGTGCATCTCAACAAGCTGCTCACAGATAGTGGCATAAACAGAAATTTGTTTCCTCAGCATCTCCATTTGCTCATCAGTCATCACTTTAACACCTAACCCACCTCCATTTTGAAACTTTCCATCCTCCATGAATCTCTCTCTAGCTAACAAGAACTATTTATATATGCTACCTCTCTCTCTTTTCCCAATAATGTTTCACTTTCTGGCTGCGACGTGAAAAAGGAGTTGAGAAGTAGAAGAAGAAGTAGTAGAATTGAAGCAATCGCAAGACAAGAAGAGGGACTCTGCTCTGCAGCATAAAGGGTAGAAAAAGGCAGGAAGGGTTGACGAGGTGCGCATTTTAGCATGATTGAGCGGGTTTCGCGCGTCAAGATCTCCCTCACGCCCCGAATCTTGGTCTTCATATGAATCATAGATTTTGCAAGTAACGGTAAATTCCATATTTATCTCTTTTTTATCACAAACATTCTTTATTTAATTTAATTTAATTTTTTGAGAGTTGGTTTAGATTTAACATAACTAATCACCTTTAAAAACAAAATTAAAACTTCAAATATTTAACTTAATTAACTTTAAGAGGCGTATATGTCTTTAAGATTTTATTTAAAAAAAAAAAAGCTTTTGTAGATTATGAATACCTCAATTCAAGTAATTCTAAATTTTGATAGTAAAACATAGAGTTTATTCTATTTAGAAAATCTTATTCTATGTTTTTTTAGTTTATTTTAGGTGAAGACATGCATGGGAGTTAAATCCAAAGAAAATCAATGTTTTTTAAACATTAATGCCGGTTTTCATTAGTCATGGAATCCGGCATTTCATGCGTGACTCAATGGTCCAAACATTTGCTTGAGTAAGAAAATGGAGAATGTTACGAGCTCTCCTTGTCCTAGCGCCTAGGCTCTCTTTTTTTATTACCGGTAATTCAATCAAGTCTTAGTCTCATCCTGTTTCAAACTAAATTATTTAGTATAACCTACTTCCTTCGAAACCAAAGTTATTGAATCTGTATCAGTCAAACGGGCAGATAATAATTAATTAAAATAATGTTGATTTGAAAAAAATCAAATTAAATTTTAATTAAACCGATCAAGTCACTTTGAGTTAATTCTCATTTTATTTTAAAAAAATCATCTTAAATTAAATCTTAAGTCTAAAATAGGCTCGCCGCTCTTAATAACATTTTATTATATTTGTAATTATTATCATAGAAATCTGAGTAGATAATCTAATAATTTTAGTCAAAAATTAAAAAAAAAAAAGGAGACGGCTCAAGATCAGTCGGCCATGACCAATCCTTTCAACTGCAAGCAAGAATTAAAAGCGATAAGAACATTAGAATAAGATCGTCACTACAAGATTAAAAGAGAGCGACACAGAACACATGGCCTAGCTAGCCGCTGCAGAACTCTTAATTCTTGGCATGGAACAAGGAAATTTGGTGTCCCTGGCAAGAGCAACAAAGTTGAGGGAATGTGGGGGTGTCTCTATCTTTCATATCTTATTTAAATTAATAACCAAAAATATACATACTTAAACTGTAACTAGTTAATTACCACGACACGGTCGCATTTTTTCATAAACACCACCAAGGCTGCTCTCACACAGAAACAAGGAGGAGGACTTCCTTGTTTTGCGGGTGGCTTGAAGATCTATAGCAAAGCCGCATGGCCGCCTCAGATTCCTGGCATCATCACTGCCGACTCCTGGATAACCAGGATTGCCTTTAGAAGCTCTTTTGCGATGCTCAGGTCAAACAAACATTCAAGTGAGAGAACCCAACTAACCAAATTCAAGAGATTACAAAAAGAAGAAGAGGGTCCCTTTTCATCGCTATAAAAACATGGAAGATCATGAGCAGCTAACTTGAAAAAGCCATTGATTTTCGTCAATAGGTGGTCCTGGACATGTGTCTTTCCCTCAAAAGCTAATTTGAGATGAGAGGTTTTCTCTCGCACTTGACATTGACCGCCAGCCTCTTTAACAACCGAAAGGGAGACAACTCCAATACTATCCTCGAGCCTTGGATCGGAGCTAAGGTGACTCATTTCTCTCCTAGACTATAGGATCTAGATTAGTTGGTAAACCTGGCCGCGGCGCTAATACCAATTGATAGGTGGTATTGGACCTATCTCTTTCTCAAAAGCTAGCTTAAAAGGTGAGGCTTTCCCTCACGCTTATAAATCGATACTCATGTGGAGTGAAGTCATGAATAATTCCACCTATCATGAAATTATTCACTTAAGGAAAGGAGAATGCATCATCAAATGGACCTCAAACAATAGTAACATTGTAGCTTTACTTTAAAGAAAACAGCAATCAAAAAAGACCAAAAAGCTAGTAAATGGAAACCTGCATCGCTCACTAAATCCATTCGTCGTCTGAATCTTCAAAATAATGTTGTTTCTTGGCTAAATTCAATCTGTGACGGAATCAATCCTGTGGTGTTCTTCAATATAAAATTCTTTCTCGACTAAACTCAATCCGAACGGTAGAGAAGCTTTCCTGGATTCACATAATCCAATCTTCGACACTTGGCTTAGGTTTGCTTTTGAGCAGATGATGGTCATCTTTTTCAAACCTTCTAAACTCTTAAGCAGATTTTCCACTGCAACAACCCGATGACCTTTTCCCTTCAACTTTATTTTTATGGCTTGCAGTTGATGAGCAATTAGGTTATGAAATCCTTCGTGCTGTTTACAGAACTTGGATATCCAAAACTTCAATGTCTGAAAAAGAAATATCGAAATGGTGAGGTAAAGGAATGTGTAGCCAGCATGGAAAGGGAAGTTCTGATAATTTCTCAACTACCCACCATGGCATACTTAGGTTGCATTACATTTTCACTACACAAGAGGGATAGAGTCTCTAAATTCGGTGATCTTCTGAGAATGTAAGCTAAAACTAGAAAGTGATAGTCCTTCAGACAACTATTCGCATTAATGACCGAGTGCTGAAGGTTGTCGAACACAACTGAGCAATAGTTGTGAATGAACTGAGTCTACAACATAAGTAAACATTAGTCAACATTCAAGTTTCAACTCGTCTTGTCATGAAACAATTAAGGTTCAATCTAAGCATTAGGAAAGAGTGTGAGTACTTTAAGAACACACTCTTTAGCTCTGACACTCTTGTACAGCACACAACCCTGGTGAAGCTCAGTTATACGATCGCAAATAGTTATCACATCAATATGGTCATTTAAAGTATCAATATTCAGAGTAGCATGGTTCAGAACTTTGAACTGACTCAGGTAAACGTTATTTGCAGACCATACTGTCCACTCCAACTCTTAGAGATTAGGGGCATTAATTTTCATTGTGCAGTTGTTTACAGGAGACAAGGAATTCAAGTCCAAGAATAACTTCTGCAGTCTCTCAGTTGAGATGCAAATCTCCGAGAGATTATATGGGAGATCAAGTAACGTTAATTCTTCAAGACATGGATGATTGATACTAATTTTGTCTGTCTTTTAAATCGGAAAGACTCAACCTTTTAAGTGATGGGCAGGTAGTTGAAATCAACTTTTTTAAAACATCTTCAGAATCAGAACCTACTACTGGAGTCAGGGAGAGTTCCTCGAGAGAAACAAAAACCCCCGCAGGCTCTTTGACACACTTGTAATACAGATCCAAGTCAAGGACTCTAAAAGTTTCAGAACAGTACATACACTGCGGCAACTCGCAGATTGGCTTTTCCTCCGACTCAAAGAGAGGATCTCTACGTATCCCAACCTCAAGGTCAATCTCCTGAACCCGACAATTCACTGCAACACGGATCCATTTGTCAATAAGATTTACATCTGCATCACAGTTATTGTTGCGGCAATACCAGTTCAGGCAAAGACGCTGTATCGCCATCCCATTTCGCTGGCTCAGCAACCCATCCACAGGATCAATAAATTGATTGCACGAATTCGGGGGACCGTGATAGAAACATTTTGATACAAACTTCAGATATGGCCTAGATACAAACATCTGTCTAAATCTTTTTGATACCACACCAATTCGAGCTGTCATCCATCTCAAGGAAAGAGAAAATGTGATGAATAATGGGATCTGGTAAGTTCCAGAATTGATCCATCGCCTCGGCATTCCTACATTGTGCTTTCCTACAGCGTTCTCTGACCAGCGAGGCCATTGTTATACCCGAAACTCTCTACCTAAAAAGATGAATATCTTCCACATCAGAAACTATCAAAATATTAATATTAAAAAAACAATAATACGTGAAAACTGACAACAGCCCCACAAACAGAACTCAAAGCCAAACCCTAAATATCATGCTTTAAAAACCCTACATTCACACACCCTGCTCTAAATCATATTGACAGATTCAAAATGTAAATTGCAACCACATGGATTATAGATTATTTAAAACAATATGTAAAACAAAAGGAATAGAGAAAACATACCTGAGCAACTCGACAGTGTTCTTTTTAATTTTTATTTTTTTTATGAATAGGGTTTGATATGATTTTCTATCCCTCTCTTCTTGCATATACGCCTCGTTCAATGAAAATAAATTTTTAAAAATTTACTTTCCGTATTTATTTATTTTTAAAGAAATTAATCAATAAAATACTTTTTAATTAAAAAAATTAACTTAAATTTAAAAAAATATTTTTTTTATTTTAAATAGAAAATAGTTTTTAGAAGTTATGAAAAAATTAGAAATATCTTGTTTTTGTTAATTATATTATATTTAATTTTCAATCTTTTGATTTCTATATATTTTATTTTGAATCATTTTTATTTAATTTTATCTTTTAAAATTTTATTTTTATACCAACTTTGATTTTGATTTTTGATTTTTGATTTTTGATTTTTTATTCTTTTTTAATTGAGAATTTTTATCTATTAGATTTGGTCTTCATTTTTTTTACAATTATTTATTTTGTATAAAATAATTTAAAAAATTATATCTTTTAAATTTTATCATCTATTAATTTTTTATCTGTCAAATTTGATTCTTTTTTTAAATAAACTTGAAAAAAATATTAATAAATTTGTTAATTTTTTATCTGTCAAATTTGATTTTTTTTTTAAATAAACTTGAAAAAAAACATTAATAAATTATTTTTCAAATTATTTTTTATGATATAGACAAACATTATAAAATGTTTTCTAAATTAGTTTTTAAACACTACTATATATCTAAAATAATTTTTTTTCTATATAAATCATTTTAAAAAAAATTCAACAAAACAAATAGGTCTTCAGAAGCTTCTCTTACAAGAGATGCTATTTAAAAGAACTAAGTTTGTAATAAAAATTTTTAAATACTGTAAATATAATCTTTTCACTTATAAGCAATTCAATGGTAAAATCTTATTTAGAAGAGTCCATTTTAATTTAATATATTTGATACACAATTATATTTTATAATTTAATATGATTCAATTGATTTAATAAGTTTAAAAATAAATCAGATAATTTTTAATTAATTTAATATTAACTATATTTTATAATTTAATATGATTTGATTGATTTAATCAATTTAAAAATAAATCAGATAATTTATAATTAATTTAATATTAAATAATAAAATTAAAAAATTAAAAAATTAATTAAAATAATAAAAATAATTCAAATAACCTTGAACGAACTTGCTAAACTCATAACACGGATTATAAGATTAAAATAACTTTATAAAAAATAACTTAAAAATATATAAATTTAAAAAAAAATGCTAATGAAAAAAAACTATTGTAAGAAATAATATTTTAATAACTTTGCAAGAGAGATAAGAATAACATTCATGTAAGGTAGATATTTTGTCCACTCCTCTTTGAGCATGGAAAACAAGCATTAAAAAACGAAAATAATTAGTGGCCTTCCATTTACCCCATGGAGATGCTCTCAAGGATTGATAGCTGTGACAGCGGGCTGTCTCTGCAAGTAAAGATAGAGACATGGATAGGATAGGAAGAAGGTGCTTCCAGGAAACAAATCTCCTAGCCCTCCGTTGTTGATGAAACATATAGATCATGCAAGGAACGTCATAATCACCTAACATGTGTGCTCTTTAAGGATCAGAGCTGCATATATCTATAGTTGTCAAGTTGGGAGATCGCGTGTATCCACTCTGTCCTGTTGTCGACGCAATCCTTGTTTGATCCAAGTGATCTATCTACGTACAGCAAGAAAAAGTCAGAATCATGACAGAAGGAGAGGCTTCTCGTGGAAGGCAGAATCCACAGCTGAGTGAATTTCTTATCGGTATCAATGCGCTTATGCCCATCTACCTTCCTCTTTCTTTATTCAATCTCTTCTCGGTTTTCCAGGGAACATTTTGTACCTATTTATTTATTTCTGTATTTTAAAAATATTTTTAAAAAATTTAAATTTATTTTAAATTAATATGATTTTATTTCAAATTATTTTAATGTGTTAATATTAAAAATAATTTTTAAAAAAATTATTAACATGTATTTTAACCGAAAAAATTATTTTAAAAAAACTATAACAACATCCTCAGTTGATTTTGTTTTCAAAAGAGTTGAACAAACCAAGACGATGTCAGCATAGGTTTTATGCTTAGTTCCTTTGTCATGGAATTAAGGAAATGTTTGCTTGTTTTGTGTTTTAAAAAACAAAAACAAAAATAAAAATTATTAAATTAATATTTTTAATTATATTAATGTTAAAAATAATTTTAAAAAAATATTATTTTAATATATTTTCAAATAAAAACATTCGATCAAATATTCTATAAATCATCAAATATACTATAAATCATAACATATTTTCATTTAAAAACATCTACACCCCTGTAAATCACAACATATTTCCATTTAGGAACGTCCAGTAACAATAACTCTAATTTATAAAATCGAAGGTTTTCAAAAGAGTTGAACAAACCAAGACGATGTCAGCATAGGTTTTCATGATTTAAAAACAGTTGAATAAAAAAAGACGATGTCAGTTTATACAAGATAAACATGTCTTTTCATCTAGTTCAATTGTTCTTGTAATTTCTTAAATTTTAGATTAAAAACAAAATAAAAAATCCTGATGTTTTTTTTTTTATATATAGTTATCGCTATTCAATGAAAAAGTGAATAAAAATAGTTAAAAATGTCTGAAACTCTCCAAATGGTGAGGGTTAGATTTTCTTGTATTAAAAAACACAGGTATCCAAATTGATAATTTTGAAGAGAAAATATAAACGTAGAAATTTTAAAACAAAATATAATTGCTTTTGTTCTTTTCTTTTTTTACTTTACAAACACCCAAACATGGGCCCCGTGCCGGGCTTTAACAAGCATGAAACACGCTCCGCACCCTAGAGTCCTCCTCGGGTCTGCAAATTACACGTTCATGATTTGCCTCCGTTGAAGTTTAAACTTGTCATCATCTGTAAGAACCACCATCATGCAAGGTTAAAAAAACAGCAACTCCAATTGAATTTTTGGTGAATCCAAGGGGTGCTGCACCTCTCGTCTCCTGCACGAGTAATCATGTCTACTCTCCGCGTAATACGACAGACAGGGTAAAAAGAACACCAGATCAGACAACAGAGCCCAATCAGAGAATGACACGCAACTTTATTTCACCAAGCTAACCAAGCAAGCACAGAAGGGAGAATATTTTAGTGGGATTGAAGGGCAAAGCTTATTTTAAGGCCCACTATAGAAGCTAGCATAGAATGATTGGAAAATAAAATACAACACCATAAATGTTAAATACATTGACGATTTACTGCATGAAGCAGCAACTGGTTACAACAATTTCCCATCAAAAAGCGATCAACAGCCTCCTCCTCTAACCATGTCATTCAACTACATCACCCCCAAAGACGGCAACTTACAAACAAAACCTACCAGCACTTGTTTGGCAAGTGACATCATCGACATTCAGAGGATGGAGTAGCAAGAAAATGACAATCGAACAAGCCACAGGCTAGAAACTCCAAGAAAATAATCAGTGGAGAGGTTAGAAGAGACACGATGGAGTGAAGAGAGGACAATACAGGGATCATCCATCTAATTGAACAAAAAAAAATCTGACCACACCCAGGTATCAACGAAAAAGTACAAGAAACACGAAAAAGAACGGGGCATTAAACCAATTTAATATACCACATCCACGTAAACACAGAATTTAGTGCAACCTCAAACTGATACAGGCATCAAACCGTTCAAAACCTAAGGCTGGAATACACTGCAGTAATTCTTATCTAATTCCTTTCTATAAAGAGGAGCACAAGGCATATATAGATATGGTATTGAACAAATTAACCATCAAGCAGAGAGACAAAGTAATCTACAGAAGATAATCTAATTCATTAAACTTTGATTCAAGTACAGATAAGTGGCATTCTCCCTTCTACAACTAATAACTTCTTTCCCTTAGAAGGAGGAGGACAAAATAACAAAGGGAGCAGTACGCATATCCTTCCCTTTAAAAGATAACTGAAAGACAAAAAATTAACAACCAAAATAGCCAGCCATTAGCATCAAATGTCCAAACATTGTCACAACCTACATGACTAAGCTATTCTCTGGCTCCATATCCTACTCGTCATCGTCATCTTCCTGCAAAGAAATTGCGAACAGCCCCAAATTAGACCAACGCAAAATTATCAAATAAAACAAACACCAAACAACATTAAACAAATCTAACCTCCCCGCTTCCCTCTTCATCATCTTCATCGTCATCATTGACCTCTGACATTGACTTCTCAGACTCCTCTTCTTCCTTGGGCCCTTCAGCCTAGTATTCATGCAGAAAACAAAATAAATTTCAACAATTAAGATGATTACAGTCTGACAAATAAAAAACCAGGTCAGCACTGTTACCTGCTCCTTGTTGTAAGCTTTCATCTTCTTCTCATATTCAACCTTCCTCTTGTCCGCTTTGGCAACAAAGGGTGCTTTCTCCTATATTCGTTCAATTATGATCAAGTCAAAAAAAGCATACTAATATTATTAATCACAAAGTAAACCCCAAATATTAAATTAAATAATAAATCACTTACAGCCTCTGACAGTGACTTCCATTTATCTCCTCCAGCTTTTCCAACCTGATCATTGATTCATCACAGCAAAGTCAACAAACAATAAATCACAAAATGAAAATTCAACTTGACAGCCAAATATATACAAGTAATTAAACTAGCAATAACTGAATGCTCACAGCTGCAACGGATTTGTTTTTAGGGTGTTCCCTCTTGTACTGCTCTCTGAACTCCTCCCTATAGTCAATAATAAATATTCATTTAAAAAACTGACATAGTTTATTTTCAATTTAGCTAAAATGATCACAAGGAGGAAGAATATAGAGTAAGAAAAGTACATAAAGACGAAGAATGCACTGGCAGGCCTCTTGGGCTTGTTTGGATCCTTAGCTGCCTTTCCTGATTTCCGGGCTGCTGCTCCTCCTCCTTTGGTTGGCTTCTTGTTCACAGAGAGCCTGATAAACCACATCACAAAACGACAGGCGTATAATCACAAAACGACAGCAAAAAACTTGAAAACCGATTTTTCTAGATCTAAGATCTAAGAGACCGCAGAACACGTTTCACACGTGACAAATACTGAAATTGATAGGAAACAGGATATGAGAAAATTACTTGGCGGTCTTAGTTTCTGACTTTGATCTTCCTCCTTTCATTGCGAATCCTGCAGTTTCAACACCGGATCAGCTCAAAACACAGCTTAAATCAACGAGAACCGGTAAAAATCGGATCAAAACCGGCAAGACTTACCGGTAGGTGAGCTGAGATAGGGTTTGAAAGAGAGAGAAAGAGGAGGAGAGAAGGGGGGAGGATATTTTTACGTGTTAGAGTGTGAAGAGAGTTGAGGGAGGAGCGGAGATATTAAGTGTAGTGAAGGAAATTGAAATTCAATTGCGGATGAAATGAAAGTGGGAGAGGTGGAATGGGGTTTGGGCGGGATTTGGAAATTGCATGACACGTCATCAATCTTTGTGCTCTTGATCTATTGGCTGCGTGGTTGTTAAGCTTTCGACGGCTTACCCTTTGATTACTGCTATTCCTCTTTGTGCTTCTCTTTGTGCTTCTTCGCTCTCACATAAGCAGTGATGTGTGATCATCTAAGGTTGGTTGGATTCCAGAGATGTAAGGCCCAGATTTGATCAACGGAATGGGCTATGCTGCGCGAGGCGTTTTAGTTGATAACTATTACCATAGTTAGAACTGGCCCAGCAAACTCTGGTCATCATTCAAACCCAAGTTGGCTTGGTTCAGGGATTTGTGGTGCTTATATTTCATATCAATTAAAAATATTTAATTAATTAACATACACAGCCGTTTAGCATAAATTTTATTTAAAAATCTCTCTCGAAACTTTAGTCAATAAGAAATTATAATTTTTAATTTTTAAAAATTATTTTTTATTGTAAAAGTTATCATAATACGAACAACACCCGTTATTTTTTAAAATCATTTAAAATATTAATTTGATAAACTTGTCAATTTTATACGTGTATAAATTAATTATATTTTTTAATTTTTTAATCTAGAAGGTATTGTTTTAAAAATATAATAAAATTGAATTAGGTCATTGCTGAGTTAACAATTATGAGTGTTGTATTAGATTAATAGTTTCTAGGACCTGGCATGGATATGCCGTATCACACTGCGGATTTTAATGCTTGATGTGCAATTTTCACTTTTATATTGGTTTTTGACGGTAAAAAAATTATTAAATTAACTGCGAAAAAGATAGGTTGCTTCGATTTGATAGCAAACAAGGACGTGTGAGCAGATAAATAAATTATTATCTATTTGTTTTTTTATTTTTCTTATCTTAATAGAAAATGTGCACCTAATTAAGTAATTTTAATGACGAATAATGACGGGGAGATCCTGTTGTCATTGCCAAAATGCACATGGTCCCCCCTTCTTCTTCTTTTTTATTTCAAATAATTTTATTAGATGGTATTAAATTAATTCATGATAATAGCATCCTGTCATCCACGCTAAATAATTGGTGTGTAATGATTTAACACGATTATTGATCGCAGGTAACCCACTTTATCGATCACGATTTGCTTTCACCGGCGAGAAACGAGGTTGCATGTCCCTGCGGATTTTCTTGTGAATA